CACTTTCATTATTTTCAGTATGAAATTGTAAAAATGATGGAAACACTACCAAGCATACATTTTCAAAAGTCTCCAAGCACAAGTTTTTTTTGTGAAAAGTAATGGACTTTGAAGGAGCAGATTGTTTATTCTTTTCTAAGAAAATAAAAAACAAAAAACTCCTACTTAGTATTCGAAAGGAAGGTTGGGCAGTTCCATACAGATACCGCCTCAGAAACCTAAGGAGGAGTTGCTATGAGTCGAATCGACTTGACAGCAGTGAGTTTGGATTTTTTGCTTTTTTTTTTAGTATTCCTAGCCACAGAATAGTTCAGCAAAACTTGAAAATGCATTTTCATCCTACCCTTTGCCAACTCTTCTAAGAACTCTACCATGATGTAACATGTTACAAATTATTAGGAAGATTCCATTATTTCAAGATAATGCAAACCCAATAAAGGCAGTATGTTGCAATATTCAGATGGCAGTAGCCTTGGTCAACCATTCCACTCATATCATATATAATGTGTAACAATTTACCCTAGAGGTGTCTCAGAAAACAGACCTGGCATCTGCTTCCAGAATGTCACAACCTTGAAAATTCTATGAAGCAATTCTACTCTGTATGCATGGGTTGCCATGAGTTGGAACTGACTTAACTGCAACTGAAAACGTCACTTACCACGTGGTCCAAATGTGGATGTCAGCGCCAATCCAAGTTTTATACATATAATATATATATATATATATATATATATATATACATATGATCTATCTATATAAATATACATACTATATGTTGTTGTCCTTAAGTGCCATTGAGTCAGACTCGACTCACAGTGACCCCTCCTTGGGTTTCCGAGGCAGTATTACTACGGAAGTAGATTGCCCAACCTTCCTTCCAAGGAGTAGCTAGTGGGTTTGAACCACCAGCCTTCTGGTTAGCAGTCAAGTGTCTTAAGCACTTTGCTACCAGATCTACTACATATTATATATGTATATAATATGTTATATATACATATATATGTATATAATACACATACATATATATACATATGCATTTTTACAATAAAGAATATAAATTCAAGTATTAACATAAAAAAAGACCAGGCTTACTTGTCTGATAGACTGAGGAAACCCGAGACTATGGCCCCTAGTCACCCTTCGGGTCTGGAACTGAACTCACTCCCGTAGCTTCCAGTGAAACAACAGATAGGCATATAAGGTAAATATTTACACCAGGTAGGTACACGCCTTAGAATGATCAATCACAGGTGATCAAAAGGGCAGAAAATTAGAAATTTTATCTGCACAGGGAGATAGCTCTGAAGGCAGGAATACATAGGAAAGAACAGGAAAAAGATAACCATAGAGGAAGTAGGAAGAGAGCTGTTATATTATGGGGGGCAATCAATGTCATGAAACGAAATGTGTATGACTGCTGCACAGAAAATGAATTTTCTCCGTAAACTTTCAAATTAAAAAAAAAAAAAAATTCAAGTCTTGTTTTTGTTCCCTTCCCCAAACCCCAATGGGTAGCCAGCATACCCACTTGAGAGACTACTGAACGAATTTAAAGCTCCTTATGGTATTCTATAGGAGTTCTGGTAGCAAAGTGCCTAAGGCACCAGACTCCTAACCAGAAGGCTGGTGGTTCAAATCCTCCAGCCACTCCTCGGAAGGAAGGTTGGGCAATCTACTTCCATAGTGATACTGCTTCAGAAAACCAAGGAGGGGTTGCTATGAGTCAGGACCAACTCGACGGCAAATAACAACAATGGTACTCTACAATCTTCCCTCTTCAACCTATTACTCATTTTTTCATGCCTTCATTCAGATACCTATAAAGTAACTATGATCTTTTTACACAAATAACGTGTGCATTATATAGTTTTTGGAAACCACACAATCCTGTCATGTTTGGGTGGATTACTTATGGAAAAAATATGGTATTATGTTCCAGATGCTATGTAAACAGTGGGTGTGGAAATAAGCACGGTTCTTTCCCTCTCTGTAAGCTCATCTAATGGAAGAGATCGATAATCAGAATCACCATCAGACAATGTGATAAATGCTGACAGAAATACAATATGCAATGGCCTGACAGAAGAGAGGTGCTGAAGTGCAGCAAGTGGCATGGGCAAGTACAAAAATAGCTCAGGTAATCTCGTTAGTTGCTGTCCAGTTGATTGTGACTCATGAGGACTGCGTATGTGAGAGGAGAACTGTACTCTCTCTGGTGTTTTTAAGGCTGTAACCTTATGGAAGCAGACTGCCAGGCTTATCCTCCAAAGCCCGAGTTGAGTTTCAACCTCCAACTTCTCAGCTAGCAGTCCAGTGCTTAATCATGAGTGTCACCGAGGAACTCCAAAACTAAGCTATTTGTGGAAAAGTAGTGACTGGTGAAACTGGAAAGGAAGTGGGATGAGCAGTTCAAGAAGCAGGGATGATGCCAAGCTCTTAGAGGCTTTTTTTTTTTCCTTAGAGAATTTTGGGCAGGAAAATGACATAACCTAATCTGCATTTTAGAATTATTACTATCTTGTTACTTACCCTGCAAATATCTTGTGAGCAGAGGTACGTATATAGTTGCTAATCTCTACCATGCAATCAAAACACTGATGGACTATTCCAGCCTCATTTTCTATTACAGATCCCTGATTCAAACTCTGATCACATTGCCCTTCCTTCTGCGTTTTAAGTTCAGTCCTGCCTTCAGGCCTTTGCACTTATTATTCTCTTCACTTGGGATGTTCTGTTCACACATGGTTTGTTTCTCATCACGTATATGTTAATAGGAAATGTGTCAGTATGGAGAAATAAAATTAGTATCACTTTAGCCATTCTCTCATTAAACTTCTTCATAAGAATTGCCTTTAGCAGCATAGAGGATGAGAAAGTCATAGAGAGGTACATGGGAAGTACAGACAACAAATATGAACACTTTTGCATATACAGTACTGAGTTGTCAGTGAAGGCAAACATGGGTATATGGATGGATAGATAGGTGGACAGGCTAAACAATTAGGTATGTCTAAATGGGGAGTGTATCCAAGATCATATATAGGGTTGGCAGACAATGGTCCTATAAGTTTATGTGAATGATCAGAATTCCCAGGTGTATAGAGAGAAGGTTGGGCAATCCTACTTCCGTAGTGATACTGCCTCGGAAACCCAAGGAGGGGTCGCTATGAGTCGGGTTTTACTCGACGACACATAACAACAACATAGTAGAGCTGACAAGGGGCAAGGTTGTGGTCACTGCTTGGTCACAGCCAGCTACCCAGAGCGACCGAGTAGTTGAACCTGTGGGCTTGGGACCATAATTGCAGGGGACATCAAGCTCAATTGGCATAACATACTATACAAAACATTGTTCCACCTCTTACTTTGGCGAGTAGCGACTGGGATCTTAAAAGCTAGCAAGCTGCCATCTAGATGCAATGATGGGTCTCTCCTCATCAAGAAGAAAGAAGAAAACCAAAATTAATGGAAACAATCAGTCCTAGCGACTGGTACACCATCTGATCTGCAACCTATACAACTATGAGACCAGAAGAACTAGATGGTGCCCGGCTACCACTGTCATCCACTTGGAAGGGATGTAGGAGATCCTGCATAGAGAGGGAGAACAATGTGGAACAAAACTCAAAATCATTTGGAGGCAAAAAAAAAAAAATAGAAGGTGGGGGACCAGTTTGCTGGTCCAATAGAGCCTGGTGGCCCCTAGCTGCCCTTCAGGTCTGGAATTGAACCCACACCTGTGGTTGCCAGCCAAACAAGGTACAGGCATGTGAGTTAAACATTTACCTCAAGTAGACACACGCCCTGGAGAGAACAATCATGGGAGAAGGAAGGGCTGCTTATGCACAGGGAGACAGCTTAGGGGGCAGGAGAGTATGGAGGGATGGACACTGGGAAGAGGTAACTATGGGGAGGAAGTGGGAGGGGAGCTGTTGCATTGTGGTAAACTGTGGTTAATGACATGCGACAATGTATATGTGAACTGCTGTATGGAAAGTGAATTTGCTCTGTAAATTTTCACCCAAATCAAAATTTAAAAAAAATTTAATAAAAAAAAAAATATTGCCTTTAAGAGAAATCCGATGCCTTTAGGTTCCTTCTTTCCACATCCAGGAGTAAGTAATTTGAAATAGTAAAGTGGCCAGAAGTCAGAACAAAAAGAAACCCTTCAATCCAAGAGTGTGGCTCATTCCATTTCTTAACAGTAATAGGGACCTGAGAACAAACAGCAGCAACTGGAAGGTGGGATGCAGAAGCATTCCCCATATAGTTAATTATTTCCCACAGGAAATTCTTCTGAAAAAGACCTGAAGGGACGTTATCTGCTAATAGTAGCCTTACCTGCACTAGGTTTGCCTCAGTGAAAGGTAAATAACGAGTGAAGCGCCAGCCAGCACCCTCCCAGCTTTGTCCCAAGAAAGCAGAGACTACACCCCGGGGACTCTCGGAAAGCGTCTCTTTCTTCCTACCTATTTGTCTCACCTCTCTGTATGTCCAACTTAGTTTCGCGAACATAGTTGTCCGGGTTCCTGCTCAGCATCTTCACCTTCATCTTGGGGGCTCGTACTTTGCAACTTCACGACCCCTTCCCTCCTGGTTCCAGTTACCACCGCCGCCTCCCGCACACGCGACTTCCGCTTCTCCTACACTACTTCCTGTCACAAGACTTCCAAGCGCGGAAGCCGGCCGGCTCATTTGCATCCTGCGGCGCTCCGTAGTTCCACAGGCAAAGGTTAGGAGGGGGAGGTTCTTCGGCAGCTCTCTCCCACCTACAGCCTTTACCCAGAGTCGACAGCCGCCGGCGGCGGGGCAGGGCGGGGACTAGGCAGGAGACCAGTCACTGTAGCGTTCTCTGCCAGCGTAAGGTGCCAGTGCGCCCCCTTCACATCCCTTCTACCTCAGACTCTCCGGGTTTCACTCTCCAGTCCCGGCTTCGGAGTCCACGTGTCAGTCACGGAAGTGCACTCGCGCACTCGGTTTCTGGTCCCAGCGGCTACCGTCGCCACGGTGGCGGCCACTGCGTCTCGTCCCAACTCCGCGGCACTGGGCGCCGTGGTTTCGGCGGGTCCAGAGCCTATGACCGGTCAGGGCCAGTCAGCGTCCGGGTCATCAACGTGGAACACTATATTCCGCCATGTCCGATACGAGAACCTGGTAGCGGGTGTGAGCGGTGGGGTGCTGTCCAACCTCGCGCTGCACCCGCTAGACCTCGTGAAAATACGCTTCGCTGGTAAGAACCCGCTTAGATCCCAGGCTCCTACCACTTGATGTCATCCCCTGTTCCTGGACGCCCCCTCAACCCCCAGCCTCAGCGATTCCTTCCCTCGCCTCCTGGTTTCGGATTTTGAGCCCCTGTCTGCGTTGTCTGTGCTTGACGGCGGACAAGGCGGGAGCTGGGAAAGTGGGAGAGGTCTCAGACTGCACTGTCGTCTGAACGTGTCGGTAACGACTCAAGAACGCCTTGGACCTTGTCTCTTCCGTACTCTAAGGAGGAGAGCGTCTGAGAGGATGCTTTTGTCCTGGCTCATCTGGAGCCTGGTAAAGGTGTCTGGCTGCTGTCTCCTCCCGAGATGGGAAGTGTGGGTAGTAAACTTTGAGAAGAATCCTCATTGGTGTAGAATGTGAGATTCAAAGCCTGATTTAAAGTAAAGGAGTTGTCTCATTTAAGACCTTAGTCACAACCCCACAGTTTGGAGGTGCTCCTGAAGATTGGTTGGTTTTTTAAAATTCGATTTTAGTGTGGTACACGATGCTGCGATGGAGTCTGTAGTTAGGATCCAAGTAGTGGTCTTTTTGTTTTTTTAAGTTTATTGAATCAAGTGTATGGAGCTAATTGAATTAAGTATATTGAAATCAACAGCATTTTAAAAAGAAGTCAAACTCAACACTAAATCTGGAAAAGGTGGTTTCATAGATTATAACTTTATTTAGAAACTATTTCCTGGTATTACCACTACAAATTAAATTCTGCCTTGAGAATTAGATCTGCAAAAGTGGTTTATCTTGAGATAATTCCCTTCAGTTCACCAGGTACATCTTGTTTCCTTAAGATTTGTGGACTGCTGTATGGGACAGAGAAATACCTAACAAAGTTCTTGCCCTCAAGGAGCTTATTGTTTAATTGTAGGCTTGAAAGTTGATTGTATAAGACAGATAATGCTAGGTAACATCAAGGGCAGAGTGGAATAAAGTCAAATATCAAAATACTAGTATATGAGAAAATTATAGATTGCTGTTGGCCATATTTATCTATAAATGTTCCACAGAAGATTAGAACTCGAGGTTTCCCATTCAGAGTACCGGTATCTTTATAGCTGGAGAGGAACTAAGAAGCTTTTTCTATGAAGGAAAATCAACTACAATTAGAGTGTTCTCCCTAGGGGGAGAGAAATTCACAAAGGCATATAATTTCATGGAGTTTACAACATAAGTAACGTTAGTTAAGTATTATTAGGAGGAAGAGAATGAACTGAGAGCTTTAAATGTATTTTCTCGTTTACTACTCTCAGCAATCCTGCACGTTTATTATCTTCATTGTGCAGATGAGGATAACAAGTCGACTAACTTGCCTAACTCAGGCTTAGTTGCAGGTGTGCAGGCCTGTATGAGTTGGTGTCTCTCTTCAGCAGTGTTTCGTATCTAGGAGCAGAGGAGATGACAGTTGAGATGATGATTGAGGAATGGTATGGTTAGCTTCGGGAGTTTAAGGCCATGCTGTAAGTAGATGATGCCTGAAGAAAGGGAATTCTTGGTACACGAGAAGATTGGTAATCGTGATTAAATGGGAGTATTAGGAAACCAGCAGAATAGAAGTGACAGGTAAGAGACTGAGATTGGATGAGAGAACTGAATTAAAGATCTGGGATTCAAAGCAGAGCTTTGTAATAACAAAGCCCACAGTGTAGCTATGAATAGTGATAGGAAAAAAAAAGAAAATTTAGGAAGAGGAATAACTGAAACCTAAATAGTTGATTAGTTATCAGCATCAATTCTGAAATGACCTGTTATGGTTTTCATGCATTCATATAGTTAATCCATTTTGATGAAATTGTACTGTCTAGTGATGGGTTGTTACACCGGAATTTACCATTATATTAAACCTGGAATTTTTCATTAAGTTCAGATGCAAATCAGAACTCATTCAGAAGAAGGTGTTCAGGGTGTTAGAAAAATTAGAGGTCATTTCATGGGAGAAAATGACTGGAGGAACTAATTTAGCTTAAAAGGGAAAAACAAAATCCTAAAATAGAGAACTGCCAAGTGGGAAAGGGAGCTGCCTTACTGTAAGTGGATGCAAAGGGCAGACGTAGGTTGGGTGGAAATAACAGGGAAGCAGATTTTGTGCTGGCAAAGTGCTGATGCTCAAAAGTGAAATGGCTGCCTCGTGATGACTGGAAGTAGTTCAGGCAGAGGTTAGAAGATCTTGTATTGGGTGGAAATGTTAGATTAGATGACTTTAACTAACTTTACATTAACTTTAGATGTAATCTCAAATCATGAACAATGATAAGAGAGCCCAGCAAAGAAGGTATAAAAATGATTGTTTGGTAAACTTACCTAATACGGTGTTAAAGATGTATGTGACTTTTGATGAACAGTGTAGAAAGAAGTGAGTGTCCGTCCACCTCCTTTGACACTTGTTGCTTTATATAAACAACCCTGTGAGGTAGGTGATATTTATCTCCATTGAATAAATGAGGATGCTGGAGCTCAGAAAGGTTAAGATCATGTAGCTAATTAGGGAAGTTAAATATCAAACCCAGCTCTTCTGACAAAGCCTTGTTGTTGTTGTT